GAACCATACCACAAAAAAACCCCCAAACTTTCTGCATTTGATAACTGGTGATATCTCATCCTATTATAACTATTTAGTCTATTTCTTAATTTTTCTCAAATTATACGTGGAATCAGTATGTTGTAGTGATGTAAAACTTAGTCTGTGTCACCAGGCTGCATAAGTTCAATTCCTAGCTCTACCATATACCAGCTGTATAATCATAGGCCAAGTGCTTAACTTCTGTGTCTCAGTTACTCCTTCTGTAAAATGGAAATCATAGTAGTACTTAACTCATAGAGTCATTGTGAGGATCAAGTGAGTGAAAAAAGTAATACCCTAATAATAATGCCTGGCGCATAATTGCTGTGTATATGGTTACTTATTATTATTATTATTATTTTAAATAATTCTACAGTATTTCTATTTATTGATTGATTGACTGATTGGCTGTGTTGGGTCTTCGTTTCTGTGCGTGGGCTTTCTCTAGTTGCGGCAAGCGGGGGCCACTCTTCATCGCGGTGCTCGGGCCTCTCACTGTCGTGGCCTCTCTTGTTGCGGAGCACAGCCTCCAGACACACAGGCTCAGCAGTTGTGGCTCACGGGCCTAGTTGCTCCACGGCATATGGGATCTTCCCAGACCAGGGCTCGAACCCATGTCCCCTGCACCGGCAGGCAGACTCTCAACCACTGTGCCACCAGGGAAGCCCCTTATTATTTTTTAAGTCAAGTTTATTGAGGTATGATTTGGGGTGTAATTTACATTCAGTAAAATTCAGCCTTTATAACGTACAGTTCTGTGAGTTTTGACAAGAGCATATGGTCATATAACCACCACCACAGTCAAGATATAGAACATTTCTGTCATCCTCAAAAGCTCTCATATTCTCTGTAGTCATTCCTCCCCACCACATCTCCAGACCCTGACCATCAGTGATCTGTTTTCTGACCATATACTTTTGCTTTTACAGAACATCATGTAAATGGAATCATGCCCTATGTAGACTTCTGAGTCTTTCTTCTCTCACTTGGCACAGGGATTGGCAAACTTTTCTCTAAAGGGCCCGGCAGTACATGTTTTAGGCTTGTAGGCCATACCTTCTCTGTTGCACCTACTCCTCTCTGCTATTGCAGTCGTGTACTAGGCATGAATGATTGGGTGTGGCTGTGTTGCAATAAAACTTTATTAAAATAGGTAGCAGCCAGATTTGGGTGGAAAGCCATAACTTTTCAACCTGTGACTTAGCATGATGCTTTTGAGATCCATTCATGTTGTTGTGACTATCAGTAATTTGTTCTTTTTATTGCCAATTACTATTCCAGTGCATGGATGCACGAGAGTTTGTTTAGTCATTCATCAGTTGAAGGATGTTCGAGGTTTTAATAATTTTTGGCAATTATAAATAAAGCCACTGTAAATATTTGCCTACAGGTTTTTGTGTGAACACAGGTTTTGATTTCTCTTGAGTAAATCACCTGGAGGGGGGGCACTGTATGGTAAGTGTATGTTCACCTTTATTAAAAACTCTCAAATTGTTTTCCAAAATGGCTGGATTATTTTGCATCTCCATCAACAATATAAGAGAGTCCCAATTGTGTTGTATCACCACCAGCACTTGGTATTGTCCATTTCTTTGTTAGATTTAAGCTACTCTGAAAAACTATGACGCATCTTAGAAACTAAAGATGCTTACCTTTATGTTGTATTAAGTCAAAAGCTCTTGAAGGGCTTTACACATGGAAGTGACATTATTTGGGTTTTTACATTACCCCAGCTTCTGTATGGAGAATGACTTGGAAGGAGGAATGGTAACTGTGTGAAGACCTGTAGGAGGATATCATTTTAATACAGAGGAAAGGGAAGATACCTGGACTTGAAAGACAGTGAAGATGATGTGACTAGATGTGAGAATTGTTTTAGGTGGTGGAATTTATAGAACTCAGTGACTGACCAGATAGGAGACTTAAGAGAGTGGCACAAGCAACTAGATATATAATGGTACCTTCACTGAAATGAGGAAAATTTATAGGGAAAAAGGTTTGGGGAGATAAAGTTATCAGTAGAATTTTGAGATAATGTGAGACATCGAAATGAAGACATCGAAATGAAGTAGGAAGTTTGATATCCAGGTTCTGGAATAGGGGAGCATAATTGAGGGTCAGGGTGGTATGAAAGATATCTGATAATATGGAGGAAGAGGATGTTCCCTAGAGAGAGTTTTTAGTCATCTGAGAAGAGTGAATAGGACAGACTCAAGAGGAACCTCAGTGATTAATGTTGGACAGCAGATAGACATCCAAAAGAAACTAGAGAGTGAGTTCAAGAGGCTGGAGGGAGAGAGAGAGAGAGAGAGAGAGAGAGAGAGAGAGAGAGAGGGGATTTCAGACTGACATCTTCCAGATGCTGAGGTGAGTGAATGTGCTGAGATGACAACTGAAATGAAGGATGAAAAGTGCTCACTGGGTTTGGCAGCATAGTGGACATTGGTCACTGAGTTTGGCAGCATAGTGGACATTGGTCAGTGTTGGTGGTCTGGTCATGGTGGTGGTGCTGGTGTATGTGAAAATCCATATTAAACTTGAGTTGGGGAGTGAAGGGGAGGTGAGGCAGTAGAAAAGCAAGCGTATACAGTTACTTCAAGAATTTTCAGGCTGATTGTTAGAAATATATGTAAGAGACATTTTTTACTGTTTGTTAGGATGAGACAGGTTAGAGCGTACTGATGAGAAGTATGAGGCAGGGGATGAGGGCAGGAGAAACAGCATAGTCAGTGGAGAGATGCACAAAAGGCATGAGAAACGCCCATCAGATCTGGTGTACTTGCTGAAGAAGAGGTTCTGCTGAGTTTAATCTCCGTGGTTGCAACCTGTGAGCAGAGTAGAATGGGGTCTGTTAGTATTGCCAAGTTCTAATGAACTCTACCATAGTACCGTCCTTACATTTATTTTCACCTATTTCTAGAAAACTTACCAAGCAGCAAATGTCAGCACAATTCTTTTGATGTGTGAAAATGCTCTGGCAGTTTAGTCACTTGTCAGTCTCATGTTCAAGTCTTATCCATCTGTCATGGCCCAGTTGAAAGCCTCAGATGAAAGACTCTCCCTCTCTAATCTGAATGGTCATAGCTTGGTGCTTTTTTTTTTTCCCTCTATTTTGGCATTTGTTCTTGTATGTGTTTACCATGTGTGTGTGTGTGTGTGTGTGTGTGTGTGGTTTTTTTCATTCTTCTCCTTAGATGATGGAAAACAAAGACCATGACTGAAAGGCGTCTTATATTCTCCACAGCACCTAGCCAGTTACATTTATTTAGCTTGTTACCTTAAATGCATGTAAATATGAACATGGGGAAATGGTTATTAGCAGACAATTAGGAGGAGTTATATAAGGAAGTGCAAGATTTTTGTGGTTTGGAATCTGAATTAATAGTCTGAAAAATTATGGTACCAGATTATAACGTTTTGTATTTATGATACTTAGTAAAATATGTTTTGAAAGTTTCCTGTTCCCTGCTATTAAGGAATCAAATTATTTAACAATAATACAACTCCTCTTTGGTGTAATTAATAGTTTACTACCTACTTTCATATCATGATTCCCTTACTGAGGGTAACCCAAAGATAAAGAGATAGAGACATCACAGGGGTTTCATCCCACATTGCAAATGAAGAAACCAAAGCCAGAGAGATAATCGGTCAAAAGTCCCTTTACTAGTAAACACAAGTGCTAAGATATAAGCCAGGACCCTCTGATTCTAATCCAGGTTTCTTTCAATGTGCTCTATGGCTTTTAGGGTTTTTTTAATAGAAATCCAATTGGCCTGATAATAATTAAATCCAATTATAAGGAGCACTTTGGTCTATTTTATTTAAATGAATAAAAAATCACTTATCAGAACAATCTCTTGGTCAGAGCTAAGACCACCTTTTCTGGAAGAAGCTTGGCCTTGTGGTTCAGAGCTTCATGCATGGCCCTTCAGCAGAATGGGAAGAATGCTGCCCTTGTGGGTTGTGCTGACGCTGTGATTTAAAGAAAAGAAAATAGAAGCCACGTATCTGTGGAATACTAACTGTTAGAGCAACAGTGACCAGCACTGTTCAGTATAGTGAACGAACCTGGTATTCGCATTTTGGAGAAAAAACAGATACATATCTGTTTTTCTAAGCTTTTGACTCTGACTTACTACTTTTTTTTATATATAGACTAGCATCATTTCTGATTTAGGATGATAACATATTCTAATGAAAGAACTAGAAATAAGGAAGGTCATTATCATTTAGGGGGCTATGGCTGGCTTTAATTATATTATTGTTAAAGCTTTCACAAATTGAAATAGCGTGTATTAAATATATAAAATCTATAATTTTCTGTTAAAACGTTGAATGGGGAAGCCTCTGACTAAAATCTTTATATAATATTATTCCCATTGGCCAGAGCTGATTTTAAACTGGATAATAACGTCTGTTGTGAACAGATTCTTTTTAATTGTACTGACTTTAACTTATAGATCCCCAAACTCAAGAATATATTTTTGTCAGGGGAATTAAGGAATGAAGAACATATACTTTTAAGAAATTGCGGAAAGGCATAAAGTGCTTTTTCCTCCTCCTTTCCACACTTCTAAATGTTATCTGAATGAATGGCTGCTACCGGGTAAAACATTTCCTTATGTTCTCCTATAAATTGTCTTAGACAAGGTATTTGGGAATTGCTGTACAGTGTGGGAATTAATTGAACTTGGTTGTATATGAAACCAAAACGATCAGTTGAGATATTGAATCTGAAACCAGGTGTTCCACGGTTAAATAGTTATGATTCATGGAAAAAAAAAAAAACCCCACAGAATTTTAAGGACTTTTTTTTTCTCCAAGGCAGTTGGTTCTATCACTCACTCCATGTGGACTGTAGACTCTGGTCTAGCTCTGGTTATCCTTATCTCCATTACAAATCTTTTTTTAGTACATCGTAAAATGTATTAAATTGGCATTCCAGACAAACATTTGAAAATGGTCTTTTACCTCAGGTGAACCTGGCCTTTGTTGAAGCAGCAGACTACATCTCAGAACCTGTTAACAGGGAGCCTCCTTCCAGAGAAGCTCAGATACTGACTTTGAAAAACACGTCTGAATTCGATATACTTGTCATTGGAGGAGGAGCAACAGGAAGTGGCTGTGCCCTAGACGCAGTCACCAGAGGTGAGTCCTGGTGTGGGTGGATGTAACACAGGTAAAGGTTTCATCTGTCCTTCTGATATAAACACACAGTGTGCGCTCCGTGCTGGGAAGTCACGTTTCTCTTGCATTGCTTAATTTTCCATTCTTTGTGAAGCACCTTCCCGTTGTTAAAATGTAGGTACTTGCACAATTTTGAAATGAAGTGTAGTTTGTCTTTTTCACTGAAATGAATATATTTAAAAAGAAAACTTTATATTCCTGTGAATTCATTGATTTGATGTTCTGGTTAGTTTTTTTAATACACAGTAAAGTACATTTATGTGAAATAAAATTATTTGTATATCACCTAAAATCACATTTATGTCAGTGATTTATCTTTAATAAAAAGATTTATTAAAATGAATTAATCTATTAAAATAATTCTTTTTGTTTCTCTATTAAAATAATCTCTTCCAATGAAATACAGACTACAGTTTGGGAAACTCTAGTTCAGGTGACTGAATAATGCAAAGGACTTGCTAACCTGTAGTTCTGTCTCACTCTATGAGTCAGCTTCAGGAAAGATATTATGAGAAGTTCTTTCCAAATGGCAACAGGATATATAAAGAAAGAAATTTTAGTATGGAACACCAAGGCTCTTACATATGATATATTTAATGATTTGCTTCTTTTGCCTGTGGTTATTAGTGTGGAGTTTGGAATCAAAGAAATCTGAGTACATATCCTGGCTGAGCTGCTTTATCAGATGTATGTATGTGTATACACACACACACACACACACATACACTTAAGCAAGTTACTTAATTTCTCTAAGGTCCCTCATCTTTCAAATAAGGAAAGAAATATCTTCCGTTAATGATTGTTATGAGGATTAAATGCATAATCATGAAGAGGATTTAAAACAGTGCTTGTCACACAAAGTAGAAACTCAATAAATTGTAGATAGTATTATAGCTGCCATTAACAACATGAAGGCAAAAGACTTTTAGAACCAATTGTCCCGAAGAAATAATCCTTTGTGATTATTTTTAGATATATCAAATTGGACTGGGTACTGCTGCAAGGAATTTTGACTCCAAATGATTTTAGTTACTATATAAGGTTCAGTATTCATTGCAGTTTCATATTCAGTGGTAATAGTTTATTACATGGAATAATTTTTCTCAGATTAAGTTACTACCACACCCACCCTAGACTTAGTTACTTTGCATATCTGGTAGATTTTAGTTTTACAGAAATGAAATAAATTTCATTTATTTATTATATTCATTTATATGTGAGATTAGGCACACATAAGCCAAAAAGTACACTAGATTTACTGTGATTGCACAGGACCCCCACTTGAGTTTTGGTCCATGTAGACATCACAGCCTAGGTCCTTTCTGTCAATTCCAAATAATGGTAAATTCACAATAATAAGTCCTGGAACATACTCAGTTTCCTGGCACACCCTAATATTTATATAATTTTGTCTCCATCCATAGTTTATAATTTAAGCTGCATTATCCTGGGACATACCGAGTCAGATGGAAAGAAGAGTTGAAGTTACCTCAAGGTGTTTGAATTCGACACTCTTCCCTGGAGTCCTGGGAAAGAGAGTGTCAAGAGAAGACACATAGGCAGTGTAATGGGAGGTCTCGTTTGGGACTGCCCCAATTGTCCTGGGACTACCCCAGGGCTTAGAAGTTACCAGATGACAGTTTTCTGTGTCCAAGAGGATTGTTTCCCCAGTAGGGTTCAGAAAAATATTTCTTGCTATCTCCACTTATGTTCATGCTATGTACTGAAGTATACAGCAGTTCTTTTTCTTTCATTTCAACAAATATTGGCTGAGTGCCTGCTTTATGCATGGCAATATTCAAAGTACTACATGAGAATACAAAGATGTTTGATCCAGGCTCCACCCTTAGGTTGCTCCAAGTTCTGTAGTTCTGTAGTAGACTGAGTTACCCTATAGAGAATATGTGCCTTTCAGGAGGCTTGGGGGCATTGTTATATCTGCATAGAATGGTCTGGAGAAAGCAAGCTGCTATTTAGCACGGGTAGAATTTTAGTAGGCAAACATTGCTTGTTGGAAGTGTGCCAATCTGAGGGAGCATGTGAGAGGAACAGTGTGTGTGGGAAACAGCCCGTGTTTCAGTTGGGATCACCCAGGCTGTGCTGGGGAGGATATGAGAGGAGTGCAAAGGCAGGGCTGGGCCTGGGATACCAGGGAAAGGCCTTTGGACTTTACTGAACAGGCCCTCTGAGACAGTGAAGAGCATTTGTGATGAGGAAAGGATAGGCAATAAGGAAGAAGCAGGGGCTAAACTTTTAAGAGATCCAGAGACAAATAAAACAGAAAGGACGTAACTTGCTGGTGTAGTAGGATATGAATAAGGGAGGCAATATGTGCAAGAATTGTTTCTTCTTTCTTTTCTTTTTAAGATAGGAGCCATCTGAATATTTCTGTAGACTCAGAGGAGAGCCTTAACATGCAAATAATAGAAGGCTGCATGTGGGACAAGCTCTCGGGAAAATACGCGGTGTGGGATATCAAAGATATATCTTAGCTTTGGCAGGGCAAGAAGAGACATTTCTCAGAGACAGATACAAAGTGTAAAGATTCTAAGGCATAAAAGAGGGAGTCTGTGTGACTCTGAAGAGCTATTCTTAAACACTCAAAAAGAAGTGAGATGTGCTACTTATGGATAGGAGTAGGGACTTGGATGTAGAAAAGATTTAGAGAATGTGATAGGAATAGGGGTTGCTTTGCTCTGGTTAGAAAAGGATATCTGTGTGTGTGTGTGTGTGTGTGTGTGTGTGTGTGTGTGTGTGTGCCCATGTGTGTCTAATATTGCTCAGAGTTGGGGCAGAGAAAATACACGATAGGGTAGAATCCCAAATTGAGAACTGACTAGGTATCAATGACAGAAGGAGAAAATGAGAAAAGATTCCATGAAGGCAAGAAATTGTTTCAATGGAAACTTAGGACTAGTAGGGGGAGGTAAGGGGAGTTGGAAAGCCATTTTTCCCTCAAAGAGTTAGGACCGTGATTGCAGTAGCAAAAAGGCAACTACTGATTAAGTGCCTTTTATTCCTTTTCTCCTTTTGAAAAGTCTCACCTATATTTGCTTTTGTGCATTTTTTAGATATCTTTTTAAAAACATAGATAAGATCATACTGTAGTCATTACTTCGAAGTGTGTTACTTTCAAATAACAGTGTAGTTAATCAATCTTTACATGTATATGGTATTCATTGTTTTTCATGGCTGAAAAATTCATCCAAAAGACGTTCTTGTTAATGACTCTTTAGGTGGTTTCCAGTTTTTTGTTTTGTTTCATTCTGCTGTTTAAAATAATACTACTTATGAGTCAACTGCTGAA